ATTTTTTTGATTTGTGATCTATAAAATTTTTGATTTGTGACCATGAAATAATCTATGGCCTACATAATTTTTAATCTGTGATCTCGAAATTGATCAATTAATTTGATAATATGTGATCGATATATAAGTTGTAAACAATAATTATATATATATGACCATTAATTGTATAATTTTGATCTTATTATATTTAATTAATGAAGATTTTTAATTAATTAACTAATACCCGAGTTATGCATTTTGAAATTTGACACCTGAAAATAGACTTGTGTCAAAGTTAACTCATGACTTTTGAATTTTTCCCTTAAACAAAATGAAAATGTTGAGTTTTTTGATACTCAATAAATCTTGGGTTATAATGTTGACATGAGATAATGTATTTCATAGGCCTAAGCCGACGAATGAAATAAGTCCAACAACTAAGTCCATGAGCTCTACCCGATCCAAGGATGGTTTGAATTTTGGCCCGTTTACCTTTCTTTTTGATCCAATTAAAAGCCTAACCCTAGATTATTTATAAGATTACAACATAGCTATTTTCTAGTTTGATTTGTGTGTGAAAAAGTGGAGAACTCGGCTGTAAGAAAGAGAAAAAAGGGCTGGTCCTTTGTATGTCCAAAATCGGTGATTAAACTTTGTGTTTTCGTAGTTCCTTCTTGCCATCCTTTGTGGTGTTGTTCTCCTTGCCCCTGTGATTACAAATCACCCATGTTTCTTATACTTTGTGGGTAAGATTAAATAGCAACCGAGGTGAATATATTGGTTGTGGATTGGAGTCGGTAGGTTTGATTGTTTGGTAGAGAAATGTACGTTGGATTGAATTCGAAAAACAGCGATTTGAAGATCCTTAGAGCGAGCTTCCGCAAAAAAAAAAAAAAAAAAAGAGAGCAAAGTAGTAAACTTTAAAGTGAAAAGAGAACAACAGCCTTTATTATGTAAGTCCTAATTCCAATTATAAGAACCATTAATGATAAGAAAAATAAACTCCAAATGCAAAATTCGACACACAAATTTACAGTGGTTCAACTAGAAGAAAACTAGGCTCCCGCTTTGTCTTGATAAAAAATCTGATTTTTAGTAAATTTTAATAAAAATTGGTAGAATGTATTGTTGAAAAGTTGTAAGTCCTATGAAATGTATAGTTAAAATTATTTATTGACTTTAACTTATATTTTGATCAAAATTTTTGGTTGAACCGAACAGAAGCTAGATGTATGTTAAGGTCTATCCACAATCCACAAAATGCGACATACAAATTTGTAGTGGTTTAAGCTTGATATGCTAAATTGGCACCCAAACTTATCCACAAAAATACATCAAAAGACCCAATGCTAGAAGTTTGAAAACTCACCTCAGGCTTACAAAGTAATCCAAGTGTGGTGGCAAGTTAAGGAGAGCCACCATCACTGCCAGCGACAGAGGAGCCCTTACAAGAAGAAGGGATAACATGGAGTGAAGAGGAGTGAGAATATGCCCCTTATTTGTTACATGAGTAAGTAACCACTGTTAGAAAAAAAATTATAGGATGAAAGACTAGAGAGAAAAATTCAGAGAATTCTAAAAAATATTTGTATTGTATGGCTTGTCCCTATAAAATATCTCAAGCACAAGGTCTTTTATAGGTATAAAGGATCCCAAATACATTGTATGAACTTAATAGACTAATTAATGACTTTTCCTACATATTATGAATAATAGGATACAAAGAACCATTTGGATACATGATTTAAATAAATGCATGAATATTAAATAAACTAATTTATGTATCTAATTTAATTTTTTTCATCATTCATGAATCAAGTTTAATTTCCAACATCCCTTCTTAAACTTGATTCCATCTTGATAACTCCAATCCGAGTACGCAATCTTGCAAAATCATCATTCTTCAATAGTTTGGTAAAAATGTCTGCTACTTGACCATTGGTCTTCACATAAGCAAGCTCAACTTCTTTGTTCTCAATGCACTTTCTAATGAAGTGAAATCTCGTATCTATATGTTTGCTTCGATCATGGAACATATGATTTTTACCCAAAGCAATAGCTGACTTGTTATCAACATAAATTGGTGTAGCTTTGTTTTGAGGCATATGAAGCATCTCTAATAATTTTCATAGCCAAATGGCATGACAAAAACATATTCACCTTCACACGTAGAAATGATCACAATGGGCTTTAATGTAGCGAAATATCCTTTTAGCAATCTCCAAGCGAGTTAAAATTGGTGCCTACATATAACGGCTAACAAGACCAACACCATAAAGAATACCAGGTTTTGTATAAGTCAAATATCTCAAACTTCCAACAAACTATCTATAGAGAGATGGATCCACTTTTGTGCTCTCGTCATATTTTGACATCTTTGTTCCACACCCAATGGGAGTACTCACTGGATTGCAATTTTACATTTTGAATCTTTCAAAAACTTTCTTTGCATAAGCTTCTTGAAAAATAAAAATGTCATCTCTATTTTGTTTTACCTCAATTTCGAGGTAGTATGACATAAGCCCAATGTCAGTCATCTCAAATTCTTGAGCCATCATTCTCTTAAATTCATCAAACTTGTTTTCATTGTTGCCGGTAAAGATCAAGTCATCAACGTACAAGCACACAATCATAAAACCTCCAAATGCGTCATTTTTAACGTAAAGAGCATACTCAAGTGGACATTTGATGAATCCATGATCTTGAAAATACTTGTCAATCCGGCTATACCATGCTCTAGGCACTTGCTTCAAGCCATATAGCGTATTCTTCAACTTTAAAACTTCATCTTCATGTTCCTTGACAACATAACCCAATGGTTGTTGAACGTACACTTCTTCTTCAAGGTATCCATTCAAGAAAGCGGACTTGAAGTCCATTTGATAAATTTTCCACTTATTTTGAGTTGCCAAGGAAATGATTAATCGAATGGTTTCCAAGTGAGCAACGAGGGCAAAGACCTCATCATAGTCAATGCCATGTTTTTGGCTATAGTATTTGGCAACAAGTCTTGCCTTATATTTCTCCACTTCTCCTCGAGTATTTTTCTTTATTTTGTATACCCATTTCACGCCAATTGTTTTTTTTTCCCTTCAGGAAGAGAGGCCAGCTCCCATGTATTGTTCTTTTTTATTGCTCGAATCTTCTCATCAATTGCATGTCTCCATTTATTGTCTTCCATTGCCTATTCAAAGTTCAATGGCTCGGTGTCAGTGAAGAGACAAAACAAAGATGGATTATCAACAATTTCAGTTTCTTCATAAATCTTTGCAAGATTTCTTATACGACTCAGTCCTTCGGAGAAACTATCACAAGGGGATTGAGGAGCAGGAGAATGCGGTGGAGTGGCATCTTCACTTGCATTTTGGCTAGAGTCTTCTTCTTCTTGAAATGGAAAAATCACGTATTCTTCATTTTTCGGAATATTCCAATCCCACGAACTTCTTTCGTCGAATTTCGCATCTCTACTAATAACAATCTTTCCATTGCAAGGATTGTAAAACTTGTAGCCTTTAGAGTTTGCATCATAACCGATGAAAACAAACTTCTCACTTTTCTCATCAAGTTTTAATCTCTTTTCATCTGGTACATGAATATAGGCAATGCTACCAAAAACACGTAAATGAGAAACACTAAGTTTCTTACGACTCCAAACTTCTTGTGGAGTCATGTCTTAAACACTCCTCGACGAGAAAAGATTAGACAAATACACGGCACATGCAATAGCCTCAGTCTAAAACTCCTTCTATACTCTTGCTCTTAAGCATACTACAAACCATGTTAAAGATGGTTTTATTCTTCCGCTCCACAATACCATTTTGTTGCGATGATCTTGGAACTATAAGGAAATACTAGATTCCATTGAGATCACAAAAATTGTTAAACTCCTTGGAAGTAAATTCTCCACCTCAATCCGTCCTTAATGCTTTCATTGAGTTGCCACTCTCACTTTCAACAAGGGCTTTGAATTTTTTGAATGCTCGAAAAATTTCATCTTTCGTCTTCAAAAAATAAACGCAGGTCTTGCGAAAAAAATCATCAATAAATAGTAAGAAATAATTTGTTTTACCATGATAGGGTGGTTTGATTGGCCCGCACACATTCGCATGAACAAGTTGGAGTGGCTTTGTTACTTTTGAGGTGGATTCCTTTGGAAAGCTTCTTCTAGTTTGCTTGTCAACAAGTTATCCTTCACAAAGTTGATTGGGATGATTAACTTTTGACAACCCATTCACCATTTCTTCATTCGTCATGGTCTTCGAGCCACCAAAATTCAAATTACCAAATCTTAAGTGCCAAAGTCAAGAATTGTCTTTAACACAAACTTTTAGACACCTTGGATGGTCAACATTAGCATTGAGTAAACACATTCTATTTTTCTCCATTGGCACATTTGTAATCAGTTTATGAGAAAAATCTCTCGAAGTAAGGCAACGATTCTTCAAGTGAATGTCATAGCCATTCTCAAGTAATTGTCCCAAACTCAAAATATTAGATTTCAAAGTAGGTACATAATAAACTTGAGAAATCAAAAGATTACTTCTATTTTTAGCACGAATAAGAACATCACATTTGCCTTCTATTAGAATTTTATTTTCATCTCCAAAAATAATGTTGCATTTTACCGACTCATTTATTATTGAGAATAACTCCTTGTTGCCACTCATGTGATTGGTGGCACCGATGTCAAAGTACCACGATTGTTTATTCTTTTCTTCTTTGGTTGCCAACAACAACAACAATTCTTCATCTTCCTTTGCTTCAACATAATTTATTCTCTCTTCGTTATTGCTGGAGTCACTCCTACATTCGGAAGCATAGTGACCAAATTTATGACAAGTGTAACATTGAACATTGGACTTGTCATATCTTCTTCCGCCACCTCTCTTGGAGCCATAGTTTTAATGCCCTCGTCCTCTCGGTTGATTGCTTGATCCTTCATTATTCAAATTTTGTTTTCCATCATTTCTTTCATTCCCATGACCATAATTTCCTCCTCGACCATGAATTTGACCTTTTCCTTAAGATCGTCCCTGCTCTTTCTGTTGACCTCCCAAGGAAACATTCATTTGGAGAACTTGAGCCACCAGTTCTCCTTTCTTCTTCAATCTTTCTTCATATGCTTGCAAGGACGTCATAAGTTGATCAAGGGTCATGGTATCCAAATCATTAGACTCTTCAATGGCAATACTAACAAACTCAAGTTTTGAGTCAAGCGATCTAAGAATTTTCTCGATGACACAACTTTCTTCAATATTCTCCCCGTACTGCTTCATATGATTGACAATGGAGGACACTCTAGTGAAATAGTCAAAGACAAATACATACTTTTTCATGTGCAGAGATTCAAACTCCCCACGAAGGATTTGAAGGCGGACCTTCTTCACTTTTTCAATTCCCTTGAAATTGTTCTTGAGAATCTCCCAAGCTTCCTTAGCTTTTGTTAAGGACGCAACTTTCTAAAACATGGCTTCATCTAAGCCCACGTGAATAATAGAGAGATCGTGTTGATCTAACTTGCGATACCTTTGCAAACAGGGGCGAAGCCATGTATAGTTGAGTGCAAGCCAATGCCTGCACTCAACTTTGGGAGAAAAATTGGAAAGTTGGGGCCTATACTCAACTTTGGGAGAAAAATTGGAAAACTGGAAGCTTAAACCTGCTTCATAGTGTAGCTTAACAAAAATTGTCCCTGCTTAACCTGCTTCATACTGTAGCTTAACAAAAATAGTGGTTAAGCAACATATTATCGTTCACCAGGTTAAGAAATAGTGGTTGGGAGAAAAAATTTGTGCCCGCACTGAAAAAATTTTCTGGCTCCGCCTTTGTTTGCAAGGCATTCCTTTGAGCTTGACTTAAAGCTCCTTTATTCTCTGGTTCATCATAGCCTTTCTCTACAACTTCCCATGCCTCTTGTGAGCTAAGCAATGCCTTCATGCGTATGCTCCAATGTCCATAATTTTCCTTTGTTAATTTGGGAACAACAAAAGGAAATGAACTATTCATCTTTGAAATGACTTTGATACCACTTTGTTAGAAATAAAAAATTTTTGGGATGAAAGACTAGAAAGAAAAATTCAGAGAATTCTCAAAAATATTTGTATTCTATGGCTAAGCTCTATAAAATGTCTCAAACACAAGGCCTTTTATAGGTACAAAGGATCCCAAATACATTGTATGAACTTAATAGACTAATTAATGATTTTTCCTACATACTATGAATAATAGGATACAAAGAACCATTTGGATACATAATTTAGATAAATTTATGAATATTAAATAAACTAGTTCATGTATCAAATTTATTTTTTTCCATTACTCATGAATCAAGTTTAATTTCCAACACCCACATCACTGCATGCTTAGAATGTAAAGATTGGTCCACCACCACCATTACTCATTTCTCCATTTCATTCAACACACAATTCTCATTTCTATACATATTGTTAAATCCCGCCATTTGCTTCAAACTTTCATTCCACCCACCACTGTAGCAGCTCCGGTTGTTTCCACCACCATCCCACCTACTTGATCTTGATTTCCACCCTTCTCCACTTAGCTGCCTCGAGAATGAACTTGAACTTCGGATTTTTCTTTCTTTATTCCACCACCACCTTGTGCCTTGGAACACACTGTGTTTGTGGGGTGTCTATTTTATTTTGTGTGGAGGTGGGGGTGGGGGGTGTTCTTATGTGGAAATTCAAAAATGCTACTTGTACAGGGAAATTTTATACGCTGGTTTACATGTGGCGATGTGATAGAATTTCATCGGTTGATTTTAACAATTTTTTTGTCCAACAACCAATGAAATTTTGCCAGATCACCACCTATAAACGAAAAATTTCCCTTCACCTGTAACATTTCTCATGAAAATACAGTCGTAATAAGATATTCATAGATGCCAACAAGCTGAGTTCGTACCAAGGGAGTGGTTATGACAAGTTTTGCATCAAGTTAGCAGGTTTTCATTTATGAGATTGGGGTGGTGTTAATAAATCATTTCTAGTTGTCTTAAATCTTTCAAGACAAGATAGTCGAACCAAAAAAAAAAAAAAAACTTAAAATTATTGTTGCTTGTAATTGATGGGGGAAATTTGGGATAGTGAATGTGAGCATTACTGTACAAAACTTAGACTGTTGGTTGATTCTAACTGTTTAGTCAATCTTTGTGTGGTTTATTATAATGCAACTTAGAATTTTTAGGCATGGTCCGTTTGAGAACTCTGGGGGAATAAAAATAAGCTTCTTCTGAGAGAGAAATTTAAATTTTAAACTTGTAGAAGACGAATTAGCATTCAGCAGCAGCACCAGCAACAACTTTCTTGCACCTTTCCAACTTATATTAAATAAGACATTACTTATATTCACTGCACAACATTGGAGAATTGGATGTTATGGTATCCATACTCCCGACTTCTTCAATTATCTCCTTTTCTAGATTCTATCATATTCTATTTTATCTGCCATTTTCTCCCTTTAACCCATCATAGTTAAAAAATAAGCTTTCATGGTTGTGATCTGGGAGCTGGGGTACAAATCATTTTACTAATTTTGCAAATATACCCACGTGCAAGGCATCGTGTCACGATTTAAATTAGTATAGCAGAGAGACTTGATTTTAATAAATATTTATTTATGTGTCGTTCTTATCTATGGAACTCAATACAATAACACGAGCACACTAGACTAGTTTTGGATTTCTTTTATATCACGGCTTCATAAAATCGAGCAAAACCAGATGAGGGATTCAGAGAGTTTCGACATATCTGCGTCCGGTATAAATGCTCCCTTTTTTGGTCATCGGAAGAGAATTCATTAGTCAATGAGTCCAACAACCACGTCTTGACGAGAAGACACTCAAGAAAGCAGTAGAATCTGAAATTTTTTTCAAATAAATATATTTTATTAATCACTTTATTTTTCTTTTAACAATACAATTAAACTCCTTATAGAATGAAGGACAGGGGTGCCTTCATCTTAAATGTAACTCTTTCTATTAATCAATCAGCACAATATCAAATAAAATAAAATAAACAGCAGCTACAACTACAGTGAGTGGTCAGCTTAATCTCATCCTTGAATCCCTTCTTAAAGGCTATCTCATTACCCCAGTTGTGTTTTTGTCCCGAAGAAACTGCACTCAGCAAATAAACACATGCTAACTACGCCCAAGCCTGTTAACTCTCCTCGATTAAACATTTATTTGAAACGATGGGATGAAGACTTTAGGTAGCTGTTGTGTTCGCCGATCAAGGATATTTGTTCTGCTGAGAATGCTAACGATCCTGACCTCAAATAATGCCGTGCGACCTGTGCCCTGGAAAACACAACAACAATGATCACATACATGATTTATCATATAATCCTAAAAAGCATCAATGACTTTTATTTATGATCAAAGGATTCATTAAACCTAGGGCAACTACCTTCTTTGCTTTCTCTTGTCAATGCATTTGGGTAAACGGCAGTCTTCTAATCTTGAAATCTGGCTTAATGTTGGCAGGTATTCATGAAATGCCTCACCCATCGCTACCAGATACGACTTTTGAGGGAACTACAGACTTGAGTATATTGTAAAGAGACGAGTTCATTTTGCTGCATTTGGACAAAAAAAAATTCAGAATTAGGCCATTAAGTGATGGAATGTATACAAACCAAAGTTGTAACTCAACATTATCTTATATTTATGAACCTAGCAATGTGCAATTCACTTGCATCTGTGTGATCAATAACAAGGAAGGCAACATTTCGAGCGTAACCACAAATGAAAATCAGGACCTCAAATCTCATACCTTCTTATAAGATGGCAACTTTTTGGTGGTATCATCTTTAATCTTTCAATCTTTCTTTCACAATGACTAGCTAGTTTTCCCAGTGCCATCGTGCTTGCAGAGGACTCTTAACATCTCCAATGCCAAATCCACCGTGCTTATGGTATGGACCACATTGTTGATCCCAAAGCAGCAGTTTCTTTAGCATACTACCATATTCCACGTTGAGCAATAACAGATGACATTTGCAATTGATCATCTCAAGAACTATATGAGTGTGATTTCTCACAAAAAATTGTTGATGACCCCAGAAAATCCTGCATTAAAGTAAAATATTATTATGCACATCACATGCACAAAAATTAAAAGTAGAATCAATGGGTGAACACCTATGGGTAACATCGCTTGGCAATCTTTAAGTAATAAATCAGCTTCTGAAATTAAATTACTCATTCCATGTGGAAGATTTAGAGCTTGGCAAGTATTTTTCTCTTCTGAGGTAACATACTGTTTGAAATCCTCACGAAGGCGACACAGATTTTTCCATGTTTCTTGTAAACAATCAATTACACAATCAGGTTCAGGGGTTAGTGAAGGACTTCAGTCTCCTAGTGAAATCCACGTGGCTAACTCATCTATCACTTGATACCCTCTTGGAGCACCCTCCTCATGTTTCGACAGATAGTCTCTTACCTCCTCTTGATAACCAAATACTGTTTTAGTATCTGATTTATTTCTTAATATTTCCTTGTCAATAGGCAGTACATGTAAAGAATGTCAGAATTTATCGCCACTGACAGGATCCCAAGTTTGGTAGTAAATTTTGAATTAGAGACTTTGCATCTTCTGCATTGATAAAATGACCAAAAGATACCGTTGTAGAAAATCTCCTTTATTAGGCTGAATGTGCAAAGAACGATGGAATTTATTGAACCTCACATGATATCATCTAAGTTTGGTAGTGAATATTGAATTACAGATTATGCTTCCACTGCATTGGCGAAATGACCATAAGACTGTTGTAGAAAATAGTTCTCCTTCATCGGTAACCTCTGTCTCAGGGACAAATGATAATTTTGGGTCATAGTAAATATCAAGCGATTCGCATGTATCATCTATCTATAAGAGAATGATCAACTCCAGCAGAAAGCTGACAACTTTTCACTTGTCTGCTTCAAAATGATCAATTTGCACAGTTGGATGGCAACAGCTTTCAGTACTCGAACGGTGATTGGTGGAGGATCTTTCGTTTCAAGTGCACCACCATTCCATCAATATAGCTTCCTTCTTTGCCTCGATAGTGTCAGCTTCACCATCTTTCACATATGTATTTTTCTGTTTTATTGTCATTCATCTTGTCTTTCGGAATTACTATTTCCACTAGACTCCGATTTTCTGCCATCAAAAAATTAAAAACTTGACAATCTCCTCTTCCATGAGCTCAGAGAGGCAAGAAAGGTGGGATTGGCTCCATTTTACTATTATGAGGCGAAACTCACAAACCACAACTATTATGGTTGTATGTATATTATCAGACTGGCTCCCTTTTAGACCACCATGTCCTAAAACTAAAGCATAGGTTTTATTATAGTGCAGAATCCATAAATTTGTGATTGTCTCTATTCACTCCTTAGCCCACACTACATGCTTAGCACAATACATATGCGAATACAAATATCATCTGAAAGACTTAACAAGTCCTCTTAATTAAGTAACTGGAAATAAACCTGCCACTGTAATTCCTTCTGTGTCCCAACGCAATTGACATAAAATCAACAATATTCTATAATTTCTGTGCACCTTGAGAAGTGATCAATGATATAACTATTAAACAGCTCAAACACTACAGTCCAAAGAAAAATGTTTATTATGAATCTGCAACACAATCGCCAGATTTTCTTCTTCACCTTCTTCCTGATTAGTCAAATAAGCGAATGGATGCACTGTGACGTACAGCAAATACCTTATCAGAAGAAGCTCGTGACTGCTCGGTGTCCTTTTCACCTTCGACTTGTCCTTTCCCTTCCGTTTTTTACCATTACTACATCACTCCTCTCCTTCCTCCTCTTCTTTTTAATCGTTACCTTCCTCAAATTCATCACCCTCGCAATTTCCAGCTTCCTTGACTGAAACCTCTCTGTGTGGAAACAGCGTCGACTGAACCAATCGCCGCCTGACGCACGTCCCCTCCATAGCTGAATTGGGTTTGATGGTGGTGCAGAAGAGGGATTTGCAATTGGAGAAGAGGTTTTGCCGCGCAGTGAATTCTTATAGGGGGTACTCGGAGTTGGGGAGTAAAAGGTATATAGTTGTTTTTTCGGGTGAAAATAGTAATTTTAACTAGTAGGTGGGATGCGTTTTGTAGGAGGATACATAGATCGAGGATGTCTATCTCAAGAAAAAAAGGACAGGGACCTAAATCGCATATTGACCATATTTTAGAGACTATTTCTGAATTTCCCAAAGAATATTACATGTGAATTATGCTTGTCTCGATGTTCAAGAAAGTTTGCCACTGTCGGATGAACGCTCTCTCTGCCCCTCTCTCTCTCTCTCTCTCTCTCTCAGTGCAGCTGGAATCAGCTCCAGACCAGTAAAAAACTAAACCCTAAAACGTAAGAACAACCATAAAACGCCAAGAAAACCACCTTTTCAGTTGTCCCTGCAAAAAAGCCTTTCCTTTCTCTCGCATTCACGGGTTAAAGCAGCAAAAGAACCCATTTTTCGCATAAAGGAGATAAATCCTTGTTCTTGAAAATGGCTAACGAAAACCCATTCACCATTCTCATTTTCTTCCTCTACTGCTTAACTACATTCCTCTCTCAGGCAGCCTCAAAGTCCACAATAGAGCCGTGTTCCAACTCCGACACCTGCAGTGCCCTTGTGGGCTACACTCTCTACACCGACCTTAAAGTCTCAGAGGTCGCTTCACTTTTTTCCGTCGACCCCATTTCACTTCTCCTTTCAAATTCCATTGACATCTCATACCCCGATGTGGAAAACCACATACTTCCATCTCAACTCTTCCTCAAAATCCCCATCCCCTGTTCCTGTGTTGACGGGATTCGTAAATCCTCCACGACTAGCTATAAGACCCGCCCTTCCGATACCCTTGCCTCCATCGCCACCGCCATCTACGGAGGACTTGTCTCGGCCGACCAGATCAACGAGGCCAACCCTGACGCGGGTATCTCTGACCCTTCTGTGATTAATGTAGGGACTAAACTTAATATTCCACTCCCCTGTATTTGTTTCAACAATAGTGATAACAATTTGCCGGCCATTTATATGTCTTATGTGGTGAAACCTGTGGATACACTGTCGGGGATTGCTGCTCGGTATTTCACCACTCTGAGTGATCTTATGAATGTGAACCAATTGGGGAGCCCTGCTATTAAGGAGGGTGACATTCTTGCCATTCCATTATCTGGTACTGATTATATTCATAGTTAGGTTTGTTCGATTGTTGTTGTATGTTTAGGTTTGTTCGATTGTTGTTGTATGTATTGTTTTTGAAAGATTAGTTATGGATATTGGAGTTGAATGCATTAATTCTAGAACAACTTTATTAGCAGTGAGATTTTAGTACAAATTGTTATTACAATTGAACAGCAATTCGTGATTGACGGTGTTGTCGTAGTGTAGAGCTGGCATTCTCATTCTAAGATAAAATAAAACCCCAACAATCTTAACAAGTTCTTCTACAGATTCTGCTATGTTTATGCTCACTGAGAGACAAAATGCCAGCCTTTTCGAGTTGCTGAAGAATTCAAATATGTAGAGTACTGTGAAATTATGAAGAATCTCAGCTCTGTATGCATTGCTAAAAACAAAAAAGTATAACCTTTTGCACAATAGGGTTTCAAAATTGTTATGCCAATGTTCATGTCTGTTGTATCCATACCTTTCGTTTAATATCAGTGACTTCTTGAGATCCTATTTTTGACTCGTTAGGTTATTGTTATTGTTTATGTAGTGCCTTTTATGAGTAGTATCCGTGTAGAGTTATTCTCCCACAGAATTTTCCTCCACTTCTGTCAAGTATTTGTTCCCAATTGATAGTTGTCCTCTCAAGGATAATTACACGTTTTCCTTTTGGAAGAGAAATTCAAATTTCCTGTTTCTTTTTTTCTTTTTTTTTCCAGAATTCATTTTTGGAGGCATTTTCTTTACAGTTTTGGTTTCGTTGCCTTCAGGAAACTGAAAATGCCACAATAGGGTCCATGTGTTACAGACTCATCAGTAGAATTCACCCTCAAAACTGGCTTGTAAGTGGAGGATATGACTTTATAGGCCCACAAAGCAAGATTTGATTTAGTTGCATGGGACTCAATGAGTTGTAAACTTCCCAAGACCAGCCTTCTATGGAAAGTAGCCCTCCCAAGATTTCCCTTTTTGCAATAATCATTACAGGAATAATAGGCAGAATTCTTCGTTTAAACCAGCTTCTAATTAGAAGGCCTAATTTATTTATCAACCCACTAAGTCAGAAACTAAGCCTCAACGTACTAATGTAGGATTCGGTTCGGGTCATTACACCAGTAAAATGTTGGTAGAGATTTTTTTCGTTCTTTTCATTTGACATAGTTGCTTTTATGGATAACGCTTTCTATAATCTCTTAGTGCATTTCTAGTAAAAGTTTATGATAGAGCTAATACTTTGATCAATATAGATGGCACATTAGAGAATTCATTAAATGTTTAGTAGAGATTTTGTTCGTTCATTTTATGTGGCATAGTTGCTTGTGATTTTTATGGTTACACTTTCTATATTCTCTTAGTGCATGCCTGGTAAAGATTGGGGTTTATGACAGAGTTGATTCTTTGTTCAATATGCAGAAGGCCCATTAGAGTCAATAGATGTTTTGTAAAGAGTCTTTTTTCTTTTTCTTTTTTTTCATGTTCAATGAATCAAATAGTTCAAAGAATAAAAGAATATATAAGAAAGCTAAATGATGTAACAGTAGGATTTTCATTTTATACAAGCAGAAAAGCTTGGTTTATGTATGTTGGAAACTGGCGATTGTGACGAATTTGTAAATAACTCTCTATGCAATGCATTCTGCAGCCTGTGCATCTAATTTTCCAAAGTATGCTTCGGATTACGGCTTGTTTGTACCGAATGGGAGTTATGCTATAACTGCAAGTGACTGTGTGCAGTGTAGTTGTGGGCCAGGGAGCCGCAAGTGAGTGAGCAACTTATAGTAGACATATGCCCTATATTCTCCTTTCCCCCGTAACTAAGGTAATCTTATCTCTATACAAGGGAATTGTCTTACAGACTTCTTTTTTTCTTGCAGTTTATATTGCATGCCAGCTTCATTGTCAGTTTCTTGCTCGAGCATGCAATGCAGAAATAGTAATCTTATGCTAGGAAATGTTACCAAACAACAGTCGAGCGCTGGATGCAATGTGACTTCTTGCAGTTATGGTGGCTTTGTAAATGGAAGCATCACCACCTGGTATGCTTCTAAACTGGTACTTTGTCCTTAAATTTCTGTTCTGTGAGAATGGTTATTTCTCTGGACTCTGGTTTTTTGGATATGGAAAAACGGAAGCTTTCTCCTTTAATTCTTCTTTACCTTATTGTAGGTTGTCCTCATCTCTTCAACCTAGATGCCCAGGTAAATGTCAATCAAATGCTATTTCTTTGACCATTTCACCCCTTCATTTTGTCGTAATTGCGAGTTTTGTTGTGATTTAAATTGTGAAGAAAACTTATTTGTAAACTTATTCGTTATTATTGGATTGTGCAGAGCCTAATCATAGCATACACATAAATATCCTCTTGATCGTGAATCAACGTAATTGGGTATTCCATAAGTGTATTAAGCAACTCTAATATTCCTACTGCGTAAAGGATTTTAAGGAGTCTGTTTTTTGTGTATGTGAAACGAGTAAGGAAAAATCTTGTAGCCTTCTTCTACATTGTGGTGAAAACCTGCTTCAGAAATGTACATGGTTTTCATATCGAGATTTAACCACTATAAATCTCTGCATTCTCACTTTGTTCATTTTTATTTTCTCGCTGATTATTATTTCTATTGTAAGAAGGAATCAGGGCTTAATCCTTAACAAGAAGTGGTAATAATGAAATACTTATTTTGGTTTCAACACATGATATGCTCTGTTGAGCTTTAGTGGCACATTTGGCAATGTGGAATTATGCCATACTGAATAGTATTAAATAAGAAAAAGAAGTTCATAATATTTTGTATGGTACTGTTTGGTAATGATCTGAATGATACATATCAATCATTCACTAGATCATTACAGTTATGCTGACGATGCTGAATTTTGTCAAAATGCTGCTCGTTATATGAATATATCACTTGTGACCATTGTGTTTATGATTTTTCTTATTGTTTTTCTGGATTGAAATACAGGATCACAGCAATTTCCTTCACTTATTGCTCCACCTACAGTAGTTCCAGATTCATTATTTGCACCGGCCCCCTCACCTTCTGAGTCTGGTGGTTTTCCAACAACGTCACCAAAGTCTTCTGTGGTGCCTTCCTCTGGTGCAAGTATAGGATTTCCACCCGCAAATGGACCAGCTGGAAGCGCCTCTGGTTCCTCCGATGCTTGTTCCTTGATGAACAATTTATCTAGTTTTTCAGCTGTGATTACTTTAGGTCTGGTTTTCAAGTTTATAATGTCGATTCCATAATTTCTTCAGTTTTGGTGGACGTTTGGACCTTGTTTTGGTCGGTTTTTACTTTCTCCAAGGTCCTAACACTTCGTGTTGTATTTAAACAATTTATTGCTCTCATTGCACA